AAGTGCTGCTCTTCAGCAATATAAAGTATACCCCTCCAGAAGTAGCAGGGAACTCTGGTGGCCTAGGGGCAAGAAGCTGCACTGCAATCCCAAAGGTGCATGGTTCAGATCCACCAGATACTCCACTGGAAAAAGAGGGGCTATTTCCTCCTGTACTAGTTGGATCAGATTCGATAGTACACAGCAAGGAGAGAAAAAAAAAAATTTAAAAAAAAGAAAGAATTGAAGTAGCAAAAAAGTTATCAGAAGCCTGTCACAGCCCCTTTCTGTTGAAAGGTGCTTTTAAGTAAGCTCTAACTTCTGGTGACCTTATGTACAAAGGAATAACACACCCCCTGATCCTGTAACATCCTCACAGTCTGCTACGTTAAACCTGTATGGCAGCTTAGTCCATTTCAATTTGTTGAGAATTTCACTGTCCACCAAGCATGATCTCCTTCTCCAGAAACTGGCCTCTCCTGATGACAGCCAGCAGATACATAAGACGAAGTCTTACCATCCTCACGTGAAGGAAATGTCCTGGTTGTCCATGATATGTTCCATATTCTTCACTAACCTTACTATTGAGAAATAGCACACCTTCCTTTTGCTCATATAAAACTATGATTGTGGCTGTTAATAATGACCCTAAATACGGTTTAAATAAATAAGAAGTCCATGAAACACATGTTAATATATTATATGGGATTAACATGTATCGTCTAGTTTATATTTTTACTAGTTTCCACAGGCAAATTTTTTTTGAGATTTTAATGAAAGTTTATAGAGAACTTGGATTTCCATTCATTCATTGTTGTACATTTTCCGCCCTGCCCACCTCCCCAGTTCGATTCTTAATTTGAAGGAAAAAAAAATTCTTTCATTGTTGTACAATTCCCTACACCCACCCCCAACCACTTTACTATGCAGCTCTTTTTCTGGACTGCTATCATGCAAATAATACCTACGCATATGATGCTTTTAAGTAGTTCTTTCCCTCATCTGTTTCAGTGCAGTATATCTTATTTATCTCCCCCCCCTTTTTTTTTTTAGTTTCCCCCCAATCCTGATATCAGTCCTGTTTTATAACAGTGTCATTATGCAGTATTTGTCCTTTTGTGACTTCAATAATTTCACTAAGCGTAATGTCCTCCATGGTCACCAATTTCATATACTATTTCATGAGTTCCTTCTTTATCGGTGCTACATAGTATTCCATTGTGTGAATGTACCATAGCTTCTCTATCCATTCATTTGTTGATGGGCACTTGGATTGTTTCCATCTCTTTGCTATTGTGAACAAAGCCGCGATAAACAGGGGTGTGCATATATATCTGCTTCGGTGGCAGTTATGGTTTATTTTGGACATAGGCAAATATTTTAAAGCTTTTGTTGTTTTTGTTTTTTTATAATTTAGAGAATGCAGCTTCATGAGGGAAGGCCAAAACAAAAAAGACATCGTTGCAGAAACCCAAATAAATTAGATGTTAAAAGTCTCACTGGAGAAGAACGTGTTCAGCTAATTAATAGAAGAAATGCTAGAAAGGTATTTATATATTTGTTTTTAATTTGCATATTTATTCAGTCTTAAAAATCCCTAGAATACTTCTTATGCAATATTTTCTAACAGAACTGGAAATGTGTTGAATCAAGCTGATATATGGGGAAACTATAAATTCAAATTGTGTCATTTCAAATCCCAGATTTTTCGTTGAACCATTTAAAAAAATAAGCTTGTCACCTAACATACCTTTGCCTCAGCAGTGCCATTACATATTACTGCCTAACACAAAGGCACAGCATCTCAGACATTGATTTACAAGAGCAGCATTTAGCAGTATCTGGAGACATTTGTGAGTGTCCCACCTTGAGATACATGGCTGCTCCTGACATTTCGTGAGGAGAAGCCTTGGCTGCTGCTAAGCATTCTAACAATGCCTAGGTCAGCCTTGCAACACAGTGGTTACTCTCAGTGGAGAAACTCTGACCTGAATTGACATCTTGACCATCATCTTGTGTTCATCACTCCAGTTTTTGATGCAATGGCAGTAATGTCACTTCTTCCATAAGAAAACATTAGAATTGATAGGGAGCTCTGGTGGCCTAGTGGCAAGTATTTGTGTGGCAGTCCCGAAGGCATGCAGTTTGAATCTGCCAGATGCTCTGCCGGAAAAGGATTGGCAATCACCTCTTGTGTGATTTCAGTTTCTGAAGACCTATTGGAGGGTTAGTTACGGGTTGGTTCCGACTTGATGGAACAACAACAATAGATGTCTTAAGGAAAGAACACCTTCTAATTTACACCAGCTTACCTTAGTCTTGTACTGGTTCAAGAAGGGTAGAAATTTTTTTCCCCAAAGTGTATTTCTGGAATAAATATGCCTCATCTTTTGTTTTATCAAATTGTTTGTTTCATCCTATGATCCTTTTTATCCCACAGTAAAATACAGAAGATTTGTGTTACTCTTTTAAAAATTTATGACTTTGGCATACTGGGATTTTTATTTTTTTTTTTCTGGTAAGCAAACAACAAACTAATAAAAAAAAATGACCTTAGAGTAAACAATGGAAATTTGTCTTTTATCATTCACCAAATTAATTAACCTTAGTAGGTTAAGTGTCTCTAGTTTGTTTGGGTTTTTTTTTACCCCACTGAAATGCCTTTACTATAAGACTGAAAATACATAAACATTAGGAAAGTGATACATGCAAAACTTAAAATACCAACAATAAGGTAGAAAATATAAAAAGGGACCAACAATATTCTGCAAGAGAAGAATACAATAAGTGAAAAATTTACCGGAGGAGTTCCAACAGCATGTTTAAGCAGGCAGAAGAAAGAATCTGAGAAGTAGAATATACTTGACATTGCCAAGTCTCAAAAGGAGAAAGAACACTAATCAAAACAGAAGAGACTTTTTTCTTTCTTTCTTGTAAAGTTGAAGTAATACAACCCCTTTCATAGTACACGACCAGAGCTAATGCATCACTTTTGTTTTTCATTTTAGTGTCTTTACACCTTGATACTTGAATTGATTGAAAAGATTTGTATCAGTTGTTCTGTCATCCTTATTCATTGTCTGGCTCTTAGATCCATAGCAGGTGCTTGAAAATACTGTGGCTGGAATCAGGCACACCTTAGTCCTCAAGCTGACATCATTGATCCTTAGTAATTTGGAGAGGTCACAGATAGCAGATTTACCCATTGCAATACATCTCCTGATCGTCTGACTGCTGATACCGAGGGTGTTGATTATGGATCCATGTAAGATAAAATCATTGATAACTTCAGTCTTTACTCCTTTGGCATGATCCAGCTTATTGATCTAGTGGTAAGAAGTTTTGTCATCCTGATATAAGATGCAGTGCATATGAAAGGCTATATAATCTTGATCCTCTGCAGCAAGTTCTTCAAGTGAGCAGGCATGGTTTTTCCATCTGCAGAACAAAACTTGTTGATGAGTCTTTTTCAATCTTGATCCCACATTCTGTTTCATAGAATCTAACTTTTGGAATGATTTCTTCAACATACAAATTGAATAGGTATGAAGAAAGGAGATGACCCAAATACACAAACCCTTTAACAAATGGTGTAGCCAAATTAGACCTCCATCTGTAGAAAATTAAAGTGAGATCCTACCTCACATCATACAGAAAGACCAACTTAAGGTGTAAAACCAGTTTAGGGTTAAAACCAGAAACTATAAAGATTGTCAGAGAAAACTTAAGGACAGATGCTTTACTAGATGACATGTATAAACTTTAAAAAAAATAACCAGAAACCCACAACCAGGAGGGGATAAAATAAAGGAATAAGACCTTCTCAAAATCTAATTACTGTGCATATATAAAAAGGACTTAAACAATGTAAAAAAGAAGTACACAGACTGGAAAATGAAAATTGGCAATGACATTTCTAAAAAGGGACTCATTGGGTAGAAAAATAGATATTTCACCAAAGGAAAATCAGCTGCCCAATAAACACATAAAAAAAATGCTCAAAATCACTATCTACTAGAAAGATGCAAATCAGAATAACAATGCGATACCATCTTAGACCAGCAGCAACAATGACAAAAGTTCATGAGGGCATCAGTCAACAAATGCAGGCAAGGATGCGGAGAGATCAGAACTTTCATACACTGTTGGTGGAACTAAAATGGTACAACCACTATGGAAGACAGATTAGTGTTTTCTCAAAAAAAGAAAATAAATACCATATGATTGAGCTATTCCACTACTGGGAATATACTCCAAAACCTCAGAACTGTGACATGATCACATTATGTCCACATCCATATTTACTGCAGCATTATTCACAGTAGCAAAAAGAAAAAGTGGAAGCAGCCCATGTGAAGTTGAAAGAGACTCTGTAAAATAGCATTAGAGGATTCACACATCCAAATTTCATCTACTTCCTAGAAAGCCACAGTAATCAAAATAGTATTACTGGAATAAAGACCAATGAAATAGAATTGGATGTCCAGTGATAAACTCCTACATTTATAGGTAATATTCTGGCAGGTTTGTTAAGTTCATTCAGTTGACAAAGATCAATATTCCCAAAAGCTAAAACTCAAATTCCTTCAGTCAGTGAATAAATAGAGTATAGTATATCCACAAATTTTACTATAATCCACTTACCTAGATGAAGTTCTGATACATACTACAACATGTTCAATCTTGGAAACATTATACTCAGTGAAATAAATCACGTTTCAAATGACAATATGTGATTTCACTTAAACAAAATATCCAGAATAGGCAAAAGCACAAAGAGGAACGTTTATTAATGGTTACTTTTGCGCTCAAGGGAAGAAATAAATGAGATTCATTGCTTAGGCTGTGCTGAGTTACAGGTTTCATAAGAACTTCTGGAAATGGACAATTGTGGTGATTGCACAATATGATAAATAGAATTAATGTCCCTGAAGTTTATGCTTACAACTATTCCAGAAGGCAGATAAGCACAACTGCCTGGAAGGTTTCTAAGGGAGTCATTTTTATTATTATTAACAGTAGTATGATTTGGATAAAAGCTTACAGAGAAAATTTGTTTTCAGTTGGGCAATTTGTACACATTTTATTTCATAACATTAATTTCCATTTCCCGTTCTGTCAAGTACATAATTAAACCAAGAAACATCATTTTCCTATTTTGTAGTGTATTTAGTAGGTTTCTAACAATATTTTTTCTTGTTTTTATTTACAGGTTGGTGGTGCATTTGCTCCACCATTGAAAGATTTATGTCGATTCTTAAAAGAAAATTCGGAATATGGAGTTGCTCCTGAGTGGGGCGATGTTGTTAAGCAATCTGTGAGTGTTGTACAAATGTGTTTTCAGTCATCATTTTAATATTAGAGGCCATTTAGTTATGTTTTAGATTTAACTGTAATAGCTTAAAAAGTATTTTATGGACGTCTGACAATATTTTTGTTTCACCATTTGTGTAGAACATGTTGCAAATTTGCCAGTTGCTTTTGGAACTATAGAGTCACTATATACAAGTTTGTTCTTATTTTAGTCCTTAAGATACTATTTGAACAGTGCTACAAAAATTAACCCAATAGGTAGACAAAGAAAGGAACCCATTTGGTGTAGTGTTTTTCATGTTGAGCTACTAGTTAAACATTTAGGCAAAGAATTTATTTAGTGATATTCTTTATAATATATGAAAAGAAACAAACATACCTGTTGCATTAACTTGATTCCAACTTCTGGTGACCACATGTATTACAGTGTAGCACTGTCCCTTAGGCATTGTCTTTATAGAAGCACAGGCTGGCCTTGCTGCTACCATGTAAATTGCTAACCGTTAGCTTAGTGGTGAAATGAAAAGCATTTATGTTAATTAGCAACCAGAATTCAGGTTACCACAGTAAAATAATTGTTATTGTTGTTGTTACGTGCCATCAAGTCACTTACGACTCGTAGCGACCCTCTGTAAATGCTGTTCTATCCTGTGCCAACCTCGCCATCTCAAACACACTCATTCCCACTACTCCACTCACAGAATCGATCCATCTCATCAAAGGTCTTCCTCTCCTGAGCCACTCCTCCACTCTCCCAAACATGATGCCCCTCTCCAAGGGCCAGTCCCTCCTTGCAACATGCCCAAAGTATTTCAGACGAAGCTTCAGAATCCTTGACTCCAAGGAGCATGCCAGCTTCACCCTTTCTAGGACAAACCTGTTTGCTCTCCTAGCAGTCCATGGTATATTCAACACTCTTCTCCAGCACCACAGCTCAAAGGCATCAGTTCTCTTTCTATCATCCCTAATTGAGGAAACACTAATTTTTTTTAACTCACTTTAGAGTAAATCTTTTAAAAACATGTAATGTCAAGGGAGAAAGAATTCATAATAAATGAGTGATTGGTGATCCAACAGAATGTGGACATTATCAGACTATTATCATTACTATTGCATGTAAGCAACATATTATTGAAGATCATTCTAGAACAGTACACTGACAAGGGACTACCAGAAATTCAAACTGAACTTTTAGAAGAGCATGTGGCAGCGGAGATATCATAACTGATGTCAGAAGGATACTGGGTAAAATCAGAGAATACTAGAATGTGCTTTATTGACTATGCAGAGGCATTTGACTCCGTGGATCATAACAGACTATAGCTAACATTGAGAGGAAAGATTATCTCAGAGCATTTAATTGTGCTTATATTGAATCTGTATGTACACCAAAAACCTGTTAACTAAACCAAGCAAGGGAACATTGCATGCTTTAAAGTTAGGAAGGGTGTGGATCAGGGTGTATCCTATTCAGTCTGTATGTTGAGCAAATTATTCAAGAAGCCAGACTCGATGAAGATACGTGGCATCAGGATTAGAGGAAGATCACTCAACAACCTGCATGATGCAGATGGCACACCTTTGCTTGCTGAAAGTGAGGATATGAAATGCTTGCTGCAAAAGGTCAGGGACTATAGTATGGATTACATGTCATAATCAAGAAAACAAGTAGATTGAAGCTGTCAGTGATTTCATCATGCTAGCATCCACAATCTGTACCCTTGGTACCAACAGCCAGGAAATCAGAAGATGTATTGAGCTGCGCAAGTAAACTGTCAGAGAATTCTCCAAAGCAGTGATGTTAGGTTGAAGACTAACATATACCTGAAGCAGGGTTTGGTCTTCTCAGTCACCTGCTGTCCCTCAGAGAGCTAGACCATGAATAAGGATGATAGAAAAATAGATGCCTTTGAGTTGTGTTATTGGAGAAGAGTACAGAACCAAACAGATAATGTCCTGTATAAAGTGCAGTCAGAATGCTGCTTAGAGGCTTCTATGCTTTTCACATGTAGCTGCACTAGGCTACTGCGTGGAAAGACAGTGTCAGTAAAGGAGAGGAAGACCTCCAACAATGTACTGACTCTGACTTCAGCAGTGGGCTCTGGTGTGAGAGATGATGAGGATGGTACAGTCCAGATGTTCACAAGGTCGCTGTGAGTTGTGCACATAACAACAACAACAAGGCAAGCTCTGGGGAGAGTGAGTGAAACTGAGCTACACACAGATTTAAAAACCACTAATTTCTGATGTCCAGTGAAGGGGAGGGAATAGGTTTTAGTATACATCTAGGTAGGTTGTTGGTTGGTTGTTTTTCTTTCTTGTGTTTTGTTTTGGGGGTTTTTATTGGTTTGTTTTTTGTTTTCCTTTAGAAATAAAAGTAGGGGAGAATTATGCTACATTCACAAAGGGGAAAACATGTCCTCAACTATTAGCAATGGTTTTTATCTGTTGAGATTTTAAATTAATTTTTTTATGTTTTATGTAATAACCATTAAAACGTTTTAAAAGAACAAGTAAATTGATTAATTTAAAACAGAAAAGTAATTTTTTGCCCTTTTTTCCTTAAACGTCTGTAGTATATTGTATCTGGAGCCACATGGCCCAGTTAGTAGGCCTGCGTGCCGTCCGAACATTTGAAACATGTCTAGTCTGAACTGAGATAGGTGTTTAATTATAAAATATATACTGGGTGTATGATTTAAAGTCTTAGTTCACCATAGTAGTTAAGAAATACATACTTAGTATTAAAAATTTAAATTATATCCTTGTTACAGTAAAATCTCTAGTACTAAAATTCAGATTGCCAGTCAGAGTCCACTGGAGGGCACCTAACAACAGCATTTCTTTTTTTACCCTCTAGTCTAGCTACTGGAAAATGTAAAATTTACATATGTAGCTTGCATTATATTTCTATTGGACAACTATAGTTTAGAGGTTCTAAACTACTAAAAGATACAAGAGTTTTGAGTCCCAGAAAATTAGAAAATTACAAGAATGTAGGATAGATTTCACTTTGTTGTTCCAGGTTCCGTGACTCCCAGTCTGCAGGTGCCAGTGCTATTCTTGAGCCAGAGTAGTGGGTTTGCCATTGTGATGAATAGATATTGAGAGTTTAGTTCCGAACCACCACAGTAAAGCGAGTACCATGATAAAGAGTCAGAGAATTTGTTTATCTCTCCATGTTTATAAAAGTTATGTTTATACTGTACTGTCAATGTAGCTATGGTTACACAATACAGTGAGGGTGAGTCAGAACAACTCATACATACTTCACTCTCTAGCAGGTTTTCAGAGGTTGTAAATCGTTCAAGAAACAATTACCCAGTCTCCCTACAGACTGTTAACCCGAAGGCAGTTGATTTGAACTTCACTGGAGCTCTCTAGGTGAATGATGGGCAATCTCCTCCCATCTAGTCTCAGAAACCAACATTGAGTCAGCTCTGAGTCCATTCTGACTCGATGGCAATGCCTTGTCTGTTAGTGTAAGTTTGAAATACCACAAAGAAACATGAAGTGAATACAGGATATTGGGAAAATGGCACTAGTAGATTTGGTTAAGTCAAGGTTATCATAAACCTATTTGTAGTCCCGGCTGCTGCTTGTGGTTGCGAGCGTTATGGCTTCAAGGTTATTTCGTCGAGCTGGAGCATTGGCCGCTCAGGCCTTGAGGGCCCGCAGTCCCAATGGCGTGGCCGTCGTGCGCTTGATGGCGACTGGAGGTGGTGTGCCTACCGATGATGATCAGGCGACAGGGTGGGAGCGGGAGGTCATGACGGCTGCCCGGAAAGGCCAGGATCCATACAATATGCTTGCTCCAAAGGCAGCTGCAGGCACGAAGGAAGAGCCTCATTTAGTTCCCTCCATCACCAATAAGCGAACAGTAGGCTGCATCTGTGAAGAAGACAGCAATGTTGTGATCTGGTTTTGGCTACACAAAGGCGATGCGCAGCGATGTCCTAACTGTGGGACCCATTACAAGCTGGTGCCCCACCACTTAGCTCACTGAGTGGGCCCCTAATTGTGCTCATGCTCCCACTGACGTGGTCTAAATGTGCTGGAATGTTTCCTTCTTTCTAATAAAGACTAGCCACTGCTTTGGCTCCTTCTCCCATAAAAAAAAAACAACCTATTTGTTTTTTACTTTATAAAAACACTATCTACAGAGCAAATGAGGTGCAGTGAAGCAAGGTGTGTATGAATATTGTTCAGTGGGGCTGTGCCTCCCCCATCGCCGAAGTTAGTCAGAGATTGATATGAAGCAATCTTTCCCTTAACTCCCTCACTTTTAATTATTTTATTTAAAAGAATGAAATTTATTAATAGCTAGTCATTTGCCTTTTCACATGGCTATTATTTTGTCTGTTTATTTCAGGGATTTCTTCCAGAAAGTATGTATGAACGTATTCTCACTGGTCCTGTCGTAAGAGAGGAAGTAAGCCGGAGAGGGAGACGACCGAAAAGTGGAATTTCAAAGGCTGCTGCTGCAGCCGCCGCTGCCGCAGCTGCTGCCAACACTACAGGTGTTCCAGGCAATCCTCTGTTAGCCAATGGATTACTTCCAGGTGTGGATCTGACAACACTTCAGGCCTTACAACAAAACCTGCAAAATTTGCAGTCACTACAAGTAACTGCGGGGCTCATGGGAATGCCTGCTAGCCTGTTTTCTGGAGGGGATGCCAAGAACATGGCTGCAATGTTCCCCATGCTGCTGTCAGGAATGTCTGGATTACCAAATCTGTTGGGCATGGGAAGCCTCCTTACAAAGCCTACAGAATCTGGGACAGAAGAGAAGAAGGGTCATGACCCGAAGGAAGTAGAAGGAAAGAAAGAAAGGACAGAAAGCCACAATTCAGAGAATGATGGCACAAATTCCGTGTCAGGTTCTCCTTCAACGTCCTCTTCTGCTGCATTAAATACAACTGCAGCTGCCAACCCACTAGCTCTTAACCCACTGTTACTATCTAATATACTTTATCCAGGGATGCTTCTCACTCCAGGCCTTAATCTTAATATTCCAACTTTGCCCCAGTCCACTGCTTTTGATGTACAGAAAAACAAAAACAGTGACTTGGGTTCATCCACGTCTGTAGAAGTAAAGGATGAAGATTCCAGAGTCAGAGATCAGGAAGACAAAAGGGGAACTGAAGCAAGTCCTCTGAATGAAAACAGCACAGATGAGGGTTCAGAGAAAGCCGACGCTTCATCTGGATCTGATAGTAGTACATCCTCCTCCTCCGAGGATTCAGATTCTAGTAATGAAGACTGATCCACAGACTGTACTTAAATTATGAACTGGTTTTTGATTCTTTTTCTTTAATTATTAATTGTAAATATCCCAGTGTTAAGTGCATCAAAACCTTATTGACCGAACATTTCAGTTATTTGTTTAGACGTACAAACTGCTTTCAGAAGACATTTTGCATGTAATATTTCTTAAGCTTCATAAGTTTCTGAACTTGTGTGTACTATCAGATATATAAAGGTGTAAAATTACAACAAAAGGCATTATAATTTTGTTGGGGGTTAATTTTATGAAAATTATGCTCAATGAGAATTGTATATTTAATATATTTGCAGTGAACACAGAATACTTTATGCATATTACTGATTTAATTTGAATATAGTTCTACAACCTCCTTGACACCTATAATTTACAGATCAAAACTCAGCAATAATTTGGGCAGCTAATGAATGTCATGAAAGCTGTAGAATCTACATCACCCTTCATTGCTTTAATTACATGAAAATGCTCTCGTGTTGTGATGCACTGCTGATGTTTCCAATTCAGGTACAAATGTGTTTTAAAGAAGAAATAGGTTTCCCAGTCAGCCAATTTAACTGGCTACCTGTTACCTCAACTGAGTTAGTTTAGGAAGTTTACATTCGTTTCTAATTCTATACTTGTTTTCAGGGGTTTTTTAAATACATCCTATATATCATGTAAATCTGGCAAGAAATATGACTTGATTTTTGCTGAGCCAACTGCTGATTATCAGTGAAAGTAAGTCATAAATCCTGTGTCATGTGACTTTGGCACCATACTTATTTTTAACTTTTCAAAGTTTGGCCTCTTAATAGAAATAAACTCTGTCTCTGATTGAGTAATGTCTGTTTCCAGGGTTCAGAAAAGGCAAACTCATGAATGCCACTGAAAAGTACTTTCAACACAGCATACTTCATGTAAAAGAAATCATTTGTTTGCTTTGTTTGTGTTTTATGTCATGAAAATCTTCCAGAATTAGGAAATAATGGTATGTAAAATGCAGATAGTTGAAATTCATTTGAGTTGCTAGTTATAAGCAAAGTAAATGTTGCCCAGAGTCAGTGTTGGGTTGTCAGTTTATATTAAATACACTGAGTTTCCCATTTTGAAATGCACTTTGAATAATCTCAGAAACACCACAAAAATGAAGTCAAAAGCTTCTATTTAATTTCTTAGAGCCCATTACCAGATAAAATTGGTCTGATGTTTGAGTTGTGTTAACAATTCCTCCTGCCTAAGTTGCTATTATTCTGACAAGATAGAGGGCCACATTAACCTTCATACATATTTTTTAAACAATTAGAACTAAATTGGACTTTAAATATTGTTTATAGTCTAAGGAGAGGTAAATGTTAGTGTTTTCATGGTACTCAAATCAGTGATTAAGTTTGCAAAGGGATACATTTTTTAGGGGAAATTACCCCAGTTCTCTCCCACAGGAACGAAAAATAGCTTTTAGTATGTTTTCTTGAACTCTGTTGCTTTGTCATGAATTAAGCAATTGCATTGAGTTTTACCAAGACTTTTACCAGCAAATTATGTTTCTGTATGTAAAATACTAACCATGTTAGTAGAGAAACAGTGTTATATGTATTTACAAAATTATCTTACTTCCATGAGGATTGTATTGCTTTTTGTATTTTCCCCAAAATAGTACTTTTATTGGATGGTTCTTTATGCAGTGTCTTAGCAATAGTTCTCTAATGCCCTTCCAGGAGAAGTGGGTAGTTACCCTTCATGAAAATGATACAGTACATCGTTAGTATCTTCCCTTTTCAGTATTGCACTTTCGTTTCACTAGATAAACCTATGAAATTCAGCCAAAGGTTTCACAGTTAAATTAGTTTGCCAGTGGAGTATTTCAACACCTTCCAGACTTCCCTCCCTTCCCTCAAGGTCTCCCCACATGGTCTTTATTCCTTTCTTTCACCAATTTAAGAAAATAAATAAAAAGGAGAAAGAAAAAAAAAAGCCCTACATCTTGTCACTGAAATCTACTTTATATCAAATTTATGAGATAAAGTATTTTCCTAATTATGCTGAAGTGAATTTGGTTAACATCGTAGTGATTCTCTTTCTATGTAATAAGGCAATTACAGTTTTCAAAGCATTAAGGTTAATCTTAACTTTAAACATTCTCTTGGATTTCAAGATACTTCTGTTTAGTATTCATTGGGGGAAAAATCCAACTATCAGCTTTAAAACAAGAAAAAAAAACAGTGTGGTTTTGTAAAGTTAAGGGTTATAAGGGAAAATAAATCAATAGAATTATATAATAGTAAAGTTGCTATTGAAAGGATATCCAAGTATGTGTTTGTAGTTACTAAAAAAAAACCAATTATAGCTGTTATTGCCTTGTATTTATAGCCCTCGTTTCAGGTTTCAGGATGCCACGTCTTAGTCCAGTTTTTCTTTCGGACATTTGCAATATTTACCAGTTGTGTTCTGTGTAGTCTGAATTTGCTTTCTGTAGTTGAGCAAACGTCTTAAAAGTCATTTGTAATTTATTAAATTACTTTCTATGATGTTCTATAGAGCAAATGGAAGTTTAATTATTTTTTATTAAACATATTCTTTGACTACCCATGATGTCAGCCTCTGTACATGACAGTACTTTAATTTATTATATATATACATACATATATAATTTATTATATGCCTATTATGAAAGCTGAATCGTGAATATTTTTAAAGACAGTATACTTTGGGGGAAATTCTTAAAACACTGGAATTGGCTCTCAATTATATCCACACAAGCATAATTCTGAAGGCATTCAGAATGATAATGTAAGGATCCCTGGTAGTGCAGTGGTTAAGTGCTCAGTTACTAACAGAAATGTTAAGTAATAATGAGTTAATTATGTCCACAACATTATAGTGTTAATTTTTCATTTTGCTTTTGATTGCTAAACCATTGCTGTTGATATTTGCTCCCAAAAGGATTCTTGGAACCCTAATTCTTAAATTCAGTTTTGCAGCCCAGTCTCTAGCCTATGCCTAACATACATTATTTCTTCATATTCCCTTTCCCTGGTGTTTTCCTGGGATAAATGCCATGATTTTGGTCTTTATTGTGCAAAGTATTGAGTCAACCGGGAAGGTTGCTGATATCTGAATCCCTTGGTCCTGGCCTGGTTCAGTTCTCAGGATTTGACATCAAAATATTAACCTCCTGTTGATATCCTGGCTTCAGTCTTCTGCGCCTGGCTAAAGAATTAATCGGGATCACTTCTTGGCCTTTTGGCTAAAATCAAGTATAGAACTGGTCCAGGCGGGAGAGAGCTAAGGAGAGGCTGTCTGAGTTACAAAAGTAGTACCGTGTACAGCAATTCTTTTAAGTGCAGTCAAGCTGATCCATTGCAACCCTATGAATAAGAGATAAACTCCTTAGCCCATCTTGTGCCATCCTAACCAACAAACATTCTAACTCTGCTCCATCATTTCATTGGCCCAAACTCAAGCCCAAAGCACACCCAAACAAGAAAATGAGCCGGCTATATTAACCAACACCAAACGTGGCCCAAAGTCTTCTCTCTTTCAGAGAAATAATCCACCCCTGTCGCTGGGATGTATCTTTTCTAATAAATTATCTTTGCATCCACTACTGTCTTCTTGCCCTTCCTGCATACTCTCAAAAGGGTTTGGCACGCTGGGGTCATGTTTAGAAAGACCAACAACATCCCTTCTGAGGGCCCTCACTCTGTATATTAAAGCCAG